TGCAGAGGTTTGAGCTCACCAGGTGCCTCCTGGCTTTCTCGGAGACACTCAGGAGATAAAGCCTTCTAGAAGCCTCTAGGTTTAACATCATGTTTGTTCTGGAACAAGAATCATAAAGATAGGTCACTGAGGATTAGAAGTTGACAGTGAAGGAGAGTATATCCAAGATACCCCAAAGCCTGTAAAGAGGCAACCTCACAGCATCAGGGCTTTTCTCTAACTCATTCATATGCTAGAGCTAAAGCTGAAGGGCAGAGATTGTTTATTTTCAGTTTCTCCCAAACTCTTGTGGCTGAAAATGAATATTCCTGAAATTCAGTTCTGTGCTGGTTATGACACGTTGAAGAAAGGAACATGTGCCAGTTAAATCTCCTCTGGGGATCTGTAGTACATATCCCAAACTTCTTCAGTGGGCACATGAGGCAAGGGCCTGTTGCCCTAAGTAGCGTTTACCAAAGACAACTTTCACAGGAAGATGAGTTCCTTAATAACGCCTCTATAAAATAAGTAGCAACACTGACTTACAGTGTCCTTTTAAAATGTCTGTCCAGTTGTCATTGGAATAATCCAAGTTTATGAGGCTCCTTCCCTGCCCTATTCCCACACATTCCATGGCTCCTATACTCCTGACAACAACCCTCTGAAGAAGACTCCTTAAAAGTAGTGAACAGCATCCTGCCTGCTCATTGGTCATTCCTGTAGGATTCCCCCACAACTGTTACTGTAGAGTTCTTGGTCAAAGTGTTTGATAAATCTCATAATTTGAGGATGGAGTTGTAAAAATTATAATTTTCCTATTTTGTAGATTACCTAAAATAAACATTAATTTCTTTTGAGGGAGGTTGCTGGGGAGTTGGGACAGGGTCTCCCTGTAACACCAGCTGACTTGGAACTCACCATGTAGACCGGGCTAATAATCTCTCAGAAATAAGTCTGTCTCTGCCTCCCAAGTGCTGGAATTAAAGGTACGCACAACCATGCCTGGCTAAACCTTGCTTTCTCATGAGTCCTTAAGAATTCATTTTGAGTTTTTAAATATCATTTAATCTGATTTTTATTGCTATTTCTTAGGACACTCAAGACAAAATAACAATTTTCAGCTGCACTCTTTTTGGAAATAACTACTTCTTACCCCTTCCAAAACAATGGTAACTTAAGCCCCTGTTCTAAGAGGTCCTGCCATTTTTTTCTAAGTGAGTATTAGAGGAAAACCTTACAACTTAAGGTGAATTGGATAAAAATAATGGAAATTTCTTGAATTCTAGAGATTATGTGTAGCAGGTGTTACTAGAATTGGCCAGGCTTCTGTTTGAGTATCATGTTGGTTCCTATTGCTACATGGCAAATTGCCACAAACAGCAACTGAAAGCGACACATATTTCTTATCACCCCATTCCCATGGTCAGGAGATTGAGCACATTTGCTTAAATTGGACCTGTGCTCAAAGGTTCCCAAGGCTGCAGTTATAGGGGTCTGAGTGCATTAGCTTAACCAGGGCCCATGCTCGGGATCTCCCAAGGCTGCAGTCACAGAGCTCTGAGCGCATTAGCTTAACCAGGGCCCATGCTCAGGGTCTCCCAAGGCTGCAGTCACAGGGCTCTGAGCACATTAGCTTAACCAGGGCCCATGCTCGGTATCTCCCACACTGAAATCACAGTTTTGTGACTTCTGCTTTCTTCTCAGGAACTTAAGATCCTCTTCTAAATTCTCATGATCATTGGCAGAATTCAGCTCCTTCTAGCTTTAGGACTAAGGACTTAGCTTTCTTAGAGTTATATTATTCTAGGAAATACATTAAAATTAAAGTTTCAGTTCATTAACAGAGATCTCAAACAGTTATTAATTTGTACAGTAATTATATAGATAGATATAGAGATAATTGGCAAAAGGACCTTTAGCAAGGAGTTTAGTACAGAAACCAAACAATTTCAATAAAAGGCAAGATGAATGTTCTCCAGCTTTTAGCAGAGAGGATTTTACTAGCATTTTGAAATTTCATCAGTCAGTTAAGTATACAAAGCAAATTAACCAAAACATACATTATGCATGTAGAAAAATATTAAAGTATATAATAAGGAAATGTGCTCAATATGAGTCTTTAAAAATTGAAAACACAAAGTAATTTTGAGATTCATGACAACCTCAGGGTTCATATTACTTGATGATGATAAATTTAGAAGATTAGATACAGTTTGGCTTGTTCCTGCATGCTGGCATTGCACTTTAACTCCTTCAGGAAGGGTTTAAATGCGCTGTGTGTGTGTGTGTGTGTGTGTGTGTGTGTGTGTGTGTGTGTGTTATGATGTGTATGTGTATCTGAGTATGTGTTCTGATGTATGGTATGTTTGTGTATGTGTGTGGTGTTGTGATGTGCGGGTATATAGTATGTGTGTGATGTATTGGGTGTACGTTGTGGGGTGTATGTGTGCTGATCCCCACTTTCCACCTTGTTTTTAGGCAGAATCTTTCTTGTTGCTGCAGCTACAATTGGTATTCCGGGAGAGCTAACCTGCCAGCCTCTAGGGATTCTCCCACCTCTGCCTCCCATCATGCCACAGGAGCTCTGGGATTATAGACTTGTGCTATTGAACCTGGCTTTATATAGTTTTATTTTTTGAGGGGGGGCGCTCTGAGCTCAGGTCCTCATGCTTGCATGGCAAGTGCTTTTTGCCTACTGTCAAGCCATCTCTCCAGCCCAAATCATGCTGTTTCTGAATTCATTTACCAACTTGATCATTCTTTACTTGTTACTGCCTAAATCCTACTTAAAATTCCTTTTTTGAAAGAGTGAACAGTGGCATTGATTAAAATCAGATCAGTATTTCTGCACCATTTAGAATGGCATGGAGAGGAAAGATGAGCATTTCAAAGAAGTCATAGCTTTCTTCAGTCCCATCATTTGCTCTCTTCAATGAGGTTAGTTCCACAATAGGATTACAATAATGATTCCATTGTTTGTAAAAATAAAATCTGCAGTTTTCAAAGTTGACATTTTTTCACTGCTCTTCTGTTTCTATGTCTTTTGTAATATGTACTTCAAGCATTTGACTGAATCTGATATGTTAGATTAGTTGGCAACTGAAAAAATTGGTTTATGCAAAAGGTACTTGAATGGCTTAGGAGATTTGTCTATATTTATATAGATTCTTACTAGTTTACTCTTTTTTATTTGAAAGAACTCCTGTACCGTAATGAAGCCCTGCATATGGACAGATCTGGATATCATGTTATAGAATCATATTAAGGAACTCTGTGATAAAAACTAATGAAGATGTATCTAGGTATAGCCAAGCTAGCTGAAGTTTTGGACATGTCCGTATCAATAAAATACTTACCACAGTCCGTGGCACTGGCTCTATGCTAATATCAATACATTTATTACTTATTTTCCAGATTTCCCAAATAATTTTCAGATCATAGAAAACATTATAAGTAGACACACATACAGATAGTTTCTTTTGACATCAGTAAAGACAAAATTTGTGTTGAAAACTTGAGAGCCCAGATCCATTCTGTGATATGGAGACCCACAGTCATTTCCTTTATTTTTGTGTCCAAATTTATATTGTTTTAGCTGGCACTTTACCAAACAGATAGATGCCTTCAGTTGTGTGTGTCAGCATGCTCTCAGAACATTACAACTCCTGTAATTACAAGGAACTGTTTTCCCAATATTTTTCTTTCTAAAGCATTTCCTAAGCTTGAAATGTTGTAAAAACCTTAGACACTAGGGTAAAAATGCTACTTTAAAAAACAAGCTTTTATGATATTTTCTTAACATAAAAATAATATATGCTCATCATAGAAAAGACAAACAAAAAGAAGGCAAAGAAAGCCATCCAGATCTAACCTTTGGAGGGAGCCACTGCGGTACTTTACACACATTCCCTTCTATGCTCTCTGTGCACAAAAACACCTTTTAAAATTGTGTTGTATATCTTATGATTGATGATTTGTTCAACGAACATTATATCATAAATACTTCCTCGTGACGTCACTCTTGTACAGTGTTCTTTGCATGGGTTATATCGTATTTACTTAACTATTCTCAGTTGTTTATCTTTTATGTTGTTGTTTTTTTGTACTTTTTTCTTTTTTGTACTATAAATAATTCATTGAATGAACACCTGAGCTGCTATTATCAAAGGCATTTTGTGGTTTTTTTAAAGCTAAATTATTTAAAGTGTAGAAAAATGCTTTGGTACTAAAATAAGGTAACTTACAAGACAAAATGGTGACATGTGAGGTCTTCCTGTGCTTAGGCAGCCTCCTTTACGGGTCCCAGAGGTCACAGACACATGTGGAAAAGTCTGAGTCAGCTTTCCATCACTATAACAAGTGCCTGAGATAAACAACTTATAAAAAAAAAAAAAAGATGTGTTTGAGTTCATGGCTTTAGAGGATCCAGTTCATGATCAGGTGGACCCATTGCTTTTAAGCCTCACCAGTACTTGGACAAGGCAGGGAGAACATAGCATAGTAAAACTGCTCATCTCCTGGCCAGGAAGCAAGAGAGAGCAAAAGGAACAAACTGGGTCCCAGGATCCCATTCTAGAGTATTCCCCCAGTGACCTACAGACATCTTGCTAGAACTTGCCTCTTGAAGGTTCCATGTCCTCCCAGTGGCCCCACTCTGGGAATGAAGTTCTCAACACGTGGGTCCTTTTTGCAGGGGATACTGAAGATCCAAGATATAGCAAGCCTTGTATAGATAAGATCAGTAGCCCCCAAATGGACTGTGATTTAATAGAATAAGTTGAAATAAATTGCGAAACTACCTAAAAGGGGACCATACTGTCACCTGTTTATTCCTGCGACAAATTCAAAACAACTCTATAAATTTTCCATTCAGCGGTAAATTTCTTTCGTTTATTTTGTTGTTGTTGTTGTTGTTGTTGTTGTTGTTGTTGTTGTTGTTCTCTCCATTCTATAAGTGTTGTCTTTGTGGTCATACAAGTTGTTCCATGAATTAATATAGACTTATCAATCCTTCTTACCAGGGATGCCATCTCCAACCACACTGAAGAAGTCTGAGAAGTCTGGTTTCAGCAGCCCATCCCCTTCACAGACCTCTTCCTTGGGAACTGCGTTCACACAGCATCACCGACCTGTCATTACAGGACCGAGAGGTGAGTTGCTCCACAGAGACCCTTGGGTACATATATCATGACCTCGAGTCCAGAGTAACAGAATAGGAAACAGTGAGGACTCTCCTGGAATGGCTCTGAGTTAGTGACCAATCTGGGTTCTTATCATTGAGGGAAGTCTTACAATTTTAGGAACCAAAGAGATTTCAAATCTCTTCCTCTCTTAAAGATAAAAGGCTCAAAACCTTTTGTTTTTCCAGAAGGATTTTGCAGAGTGGGAAGTAATCAAAATCAAATGTGCCCTGCAAGTGGGCTATGTGGGTTTGTGTGTATACATATATGTGTATGTATGTGTATATGTTTTGGTAAGTATCTTTCCGTGTGATCATTTACCTGTTTCTCAAATAATAGATGTCTTTTCATCCTCTCCTCCTCACTGATTCTCTTCCCATGAAACCTGATTTCCATATGTGGCATTTCATGTTGAGGTTGTCTCCATCAGGGTGTTGACGGCCCATCCTCATTCACTCCTTTTGAAGTGGTAGATAGTTTGTCTGGTTTTCATTGCAACATTTTCATTATTTTAGCCTCATGTGCTTTTAAGTTTATTATTAAAATGTGTCCACAAGAAATATGATTTGTATTTCACATTAAAGACAAGCCTTAAACCCCAAGAGAATGTCAGCAAATCACTTAACTTGATCTTATTGCAAGATGAAAATATTTATTAGTTTGTTTATAAAACTCCCACAGTAGGAATATGAATAATTGTAACCACGTTTGCATTCCTCCATCAGATTTTCGTTTAGGTGGGTCTGTGATCTACCAGCTGGTATCATAAACCATCCCAGAAAGTTATGATCCCTTGTCTACTTTGACATATGCCTGGGAAAACTGATATTTCTTGCATTAATCTCAATGTTGGGCCCACAAATCTGAATCCCTTTATGAGTACTGAGTGCATCTCAGGAAAATATGGGAGTTGAGAAGGCTGCTCAGTGCACACATGGAAAATTTCACCAAACAAAATAGGCACTCTGCCATAGAAAGCGATTTCTGTATCAGCAATTATGAAAACTTACTGGCTTTATCCTTAGAGATGTTGTGAGCATTGATAAAATTTTCTCATCAGGGTCTCTGATTATTCTACGTGTGTGCATGTAATATAATCACATATTACATACCATACATATATGTACATACCTGTATGTGGTATGTATATATGTGGTATGTAAACATAATGCAGATTATATATAAAACTTGAGAACTCACATCTGAATAAGCCACTTTAAATAAGATACTATTATTATGTTCTCTCATTGGGCATCAAAACTACAGTGGAGAATGAGAGGTATGAAGCCATTTTAAGGCAGAATATTTATGGTCCCAAGGAGAAAGGTATATGTTATTTACCTTTTTATGGTGAATTTAACATATTCAAGCACTAAATGAATGTTAAGGGCAAAGCTTTCTTCAGGACTCAGAGGAGAAGGCTACCAAAGTTTATTCATTTGTTCATTAAACAAAGATTTGCTGCGTGCACATCACTATACAGATGCTGGGGGGTCAATGTCTCCTGTCCTCAGAGAACATGCAGTTTAGAGCAGAAGAGAGACCCAAGAAGATGGTAGAACAGGCTGTCACTTGTCACGTTATATAGACTTTGAAGTCTAGACAGCATTGAAGTCAAATCTAAGAAGATGCACGTACGAATGATTGATAGTCCACACAGAGGAGAGGTCCACACAGAGGAGAGGGCCACACAGAGGAGAGGGCCACACAGAGGAGAGGTCCACGCAGAGGAGAGGTTCACTCAAATGGTGATAAGTCTATGAAGAGGCAGCAACCAGGAAGGCTGGGTGAGCTACCTTTGCCTTCCCACCTGCCTTCTGGTTTTGTCATGTTCATCCCAATAAATGGGGACAGTCCCCCTGGAGAAAGAACCTTTCTTCCCAAACTCAGATTCTTATGTAAAAGTTAACAATAAAACAGTATTTTTGGAAACACTCTGAAGAGCATAAAATAATGTCATGTATCATTACTTATTCAATAAATATCAAGGGTGCCTACTTTGTGTCTTGGCTTCAAGCTGCACTTCTATAAACCACTGTAGAAATCTAGCACCCACCCCAGGTACATGATCAGGAGCTTCTTCATGCTAAATATTTAAGCACATCACATCTGAGAAGATGACCCACACTGAGTTGGGCAGGATTGACTTTTTTAGACCACAGCATACTGACCTTTGACCTCCTATTCATATTCATATTTATAAAATTATATATGAGGAAAAGTGAAGCCTAGTTTAAGAATTATGGAATACCAAAGATTCTTTGTTTTCACCAGAATTCAAGATGGTTCCCAGTATCCTCCTGCTCAGGTCCCCGTCTCACTGCCCACCACTCCATAGTTGTGGGGCAGAGGGCTTGGAGAAGAGCAATGACACACTTCATTTGCATCTTTGTGGTAGGAAGGACAGAGATAAGGTGGGAAAACCAGGGCATAGTTTGGCCAAGGTCCTTTCACAAGGTTGGGATTCTGCCTCTCAAGGTGGAAGCTGAACTCCGTTTTATAGTCCCTTTCATTCCCCACGGAACCAATTGTAAAGCTTGTGCCTGCAATAATATCCATTTGGAGCTAAGAGTTTATGCTCTAGGATGAGGCCAAATTTGAGGAACAAGAGGCTGCATGAAGTAGTTAGTGGAATAAAAGTGGCAGGTGCGTGTAATAGTGCATCCTTTGCCACCTGTACAAAGTTACCACCACCAGATCTGGTAAACTTGGACTTTGAAAGGAGCCTTGGAGAACAAAAAAAGTGTGACCTTTATCAGTTCTCAGAGTGCAAGGGTGGGGCTCCAGGTGTGTGTGGTGCCTTCTTGCCCAGGATCATGTAGTATATTCACCACTGATTGGGAGGGACCAGCAAAATGTCTGCTGCCTTCCCTGCAATTTCTTACAACAGTATCTTTACCAAACAAGTAGCAGTCAGTTAGCAGTAACTGCATGACACATCCCAACAGTCTAACCAGAGATGGTATTTTAACAAAACTATAGCAAAGCAAGGCCACTTCACACACCCCCATAAACATGGTCCTATTGTCAACTACAAGCCTAAATTGTACTTGGAAATTTGGTGGTGGTTATTTCCAAGGAAAGCCTCTCTGTGTAAAGAGTACAAAGCAGAGGCCGAAAAACTGGACATTTCAGGGAGGAAGGTATGACAGTTTGAGCTGTGTGGGCTACTACAACATAACACCACAGGCTGAAGAGTTTATAAACAGCAGAAGTTTGTTTTCCACATCAATGAAGACTGGGAAGCTCAAAATCAAGGTGTGGCAGATTCAGTGTCCAGTAAAGATCCACACCTTGGTTTGTAGATACTGTCTTCTTGCTATGTCTTCACTTTGTTGAGAGTTAACCAACTCTCTGTGGCCTCTTTTATAAGGGAACTAATCCTGCCTGTGAGAACTCTCATGACCTAATCACCTTCTAAGGGCCTCACCTTATACTCTGATTTCTCTAGAGCGCATAAATCTTTTGCCTTTTACTAAAGGTCCCAACCTCCAATACAGTCTCATTAAGATTTTGACATACTCATTTTGAGGGCACGCAAGCTGTAGTTGCAATTAAGCACAAAAGCTGAGTGGGCCAGATGCACCCATGTTTGAATCTCTGTTACTATTCACACCAACTGTGTGGTCCTGGCACTGTGATGCACTTCTCTGAGGTTCTGCACCTACAAAGAAGTGTGTTAAGTCAGAAGTAAGTGAAGCTATGTATTTGTAGTCATTTGTAAAGTGTCTGAAAACAGACTGTGCATCCAGCTTATACAAACAGTCCTCTTTCATCCAAGTTTGGAAAATCTGGTACTATCCCTATTGCCTTCACCTGTCGACAGTTCACCCATCTGTAAGCCCAGCTCACATATAGAATGAGCTTCCATCATCTAGAATGTTCAAGACCAGAAATGTCTCAGTAATTTTGGGTTCCGTGAACATTTGCCTATACATGAGATTTCCTGGAATGGCACTCAGATTCATTCATGCTTTATATATGCCTTATACCCACAATCTGCAGGCAATTCTATACAATATTTTAGCACACCTTAGTTTTGACTACCCCTTACCATGTAAGGTCAGGTGTGCAATTATCTACTCATATCCTGACAGTGCTGAAAAAGTCTAGGATTTGGGAGCATTTCAGTCTGGGTATTTTCCGATTAAGTGTGCTCAACTTGTATTACTTTGGACATGAAGCCTCCTCAGCTGCACCCTGCCTCCATCCCCTCACCCTCCTTTGCCTCCTGCAGGTTTTCATGCCTGCACATCCCCCACATCTTTGTCTTCTGTGTTTAGTTACTGTTTGTGTCTGGTCCCCCTCCTAGAATGAAATGTCCAGTGACAAGGGTCTCTCTTTATGCCTTGCCTAGTGGGGTATAGAAAATGGACAAATAAGAAGTAGCCAAAATCCATGTAAGCACACACACAAAAGAGTTCAGAGGGAGGAAGGGAGGGAGGGAGGGAGGGAGGGAGGGAGGGAGAGAGAGAGAGAGAGAGAGAGAGAGAGAGAGAGAGAGAAGAGGCTCTGATAGGTTCTCGATGCTTCAGAAGAACAAGCAGGGCTAAATGTATGGTCTTTGTAGCCCTGGTCTATGAAGAACACCCAAGATGGCAGTGGGGCTTGGGGGGTACCATAGCCCTTCATCTTAAGAAAACTCTGCAAGATGACCTGAGCAAAGCTTTCATGCTAAAAGCTATGGCTTGTCTTAGTTTATGCTCTTCTGACCACTTCCCTATTCACATTGCGAAGGTAGAGGCATGTGGTTTCTTAAATCTAAGCTTTTCTCTGACGGTGGCTTTCTTTGTGGCTTTGATAAATCACTTAGCCTTGTGGCCTCAGTTGGACCATCTGTACCATGGGAATAAAGTTTTGCCACCAACTTCTCTGTGTGGTTAGAATCAGGTAAAGGGGTTAAATTATGGTGGAATAGCCTGGGGCAGAGGAAGTAATTAAATTCTAGCAAAGGCATTTTTATATGTCAT